TGATGGCGTGAACGGGTTTTATTACACTGGCAGCGCCAGCTTTCCCCGTTTTTCCCGACGTACGGGCCCGTTTTGCTCTCGGTTGCTCAATTTCTGTGAGTTCCCCTGATGTTCTCGGCTGCGCCGAGTCAGGGTCTGGCTCTGAAAGAAGTGCAGCTTCGGCTAGCATGTCGTCCAAAACATCATTCGATGCTGCCATGTTTATGAGCGAATAGCTGCAACCACAACAAAGAGTTTGCCTCGCAAACTCGGTGGTTTATTAACTGATGTTTTCCCTTATTACTTATATATTTAAAACAGTTCGTCTTCGCTAGATGTCATTCATTGACTAAGGATTATGTTTATGTATGACCAAACACGCCATGTAATGGCGGAGTGTGCATAGTAGAATGACCAGCTGTGCGCATGCGTAGTATCTCGTGGAATCTCTGCGGTAGATGTTGATAGAATTCATGTGGAAGAGACCTTAATTAGTGAATTGGAAAATATTTATCACTGGCTTCATTCAAACAAATTAACGTTAAATGTAGAAAAAACGGAATATATGATCATTGGAACACGTCAAAGGTTGAATAATCTTTCTCAAGACATTAATGTTTCTATCGATGGGAAAGTATTAAAAGAGGTTGAAACCAAAAAAACCTTAGGCGTATTGGTTGACCAACATCTGTGCTGGGATAGGCAGATTGACAACATCAGTAAAAAAGCTTCAAAGGGCATTGGCGGCATGTTGCGCCGTGTAAAACCCTGTGTTCCAACCAAAACTCTTCAACATCTTTACCAAGCCCTAGTTCAACCACACTTTGATTACTGCTCAATGGTTTGGGGTAACTGTGGTGAATATTTAAGAGGGAAGCTTCAGAAGCTTCAAAACCGAGCTGCTAGAGTTATTACCGGCGACCCATATGAAATACGCTCGATTGATATTTTAAAGAAACTGGTATGGAAAACGTTAAGTGGAAGAAGGAAGAAACAACAACTAAAATACGTATCAAAAGCTCTTACATGCCAATGTCCTAAGAACATTTCGGATATGTTCAAATTATCCAACTCTGTAAGATATGAATTACGAAGCAATAATAATAAGTTGATGTTGTCAAAGCCAAAAACAAATTCAATGAAACGTACTTTCGGTTACGCTGCTGCTAAAGTTTGGAATGAGAGAAATAAAAACTCTTGAATTATCTTTTATCTTATTTGGGTGGGGTTTGAGTGTGAAGATTTTACTGTTATTATATGGAGAGGGTGGATGGGAGTTTCTTATACTGTTTGTAACTACGCGGCCTAATGAAAAGCAACGAAAACCTTGTAAATATTTTATAGTTGATTAACTACCGTGTATAAAGATGTTTTAATAATGATAATAATTATAATAATAATAATAATAATAATAATAATAATTTTTTTAAACCTTTACAAATCAATTACATAGCCTGACCCATATAGTCATACATTTATTAGTCCAGACCAAATTTTACCTAACTACACTTAATAAATAAGACAACAGTTCTCTGAATAAAGCAGGTCTGTTATCTACACTGTCACACATTAGTAGTTAATAGAAGTTGAGCTTTTCAGGGCAAGACCAGTTCTTATTTCTCTTACAAAATATGTAGAAAGTGGCACGAAGTGCAACCTCCATACATTTTGTTATAATACGATCGTCTTGCAAATTTAACAACCTACATAGCCTACGAAATTGGCCTATACTCTTCGTGACGAAGCCTAGAGTAGTGACTTCCAAAGTTATAACTTTAAATCTATCACACGGTACGAGTAACTGTGATCGTAATACCCGATATTTTTCTTGTTTACGTCGTCTTGCAATCATGCAGTTCGTTTCATATGGGACAGTCAATTCAATCACATACAAGTCTCTTTTATAACGAATCGTAATATCTGGCCTTAACGCTTGAAACAGATTGGACGTACATTTCAAGCCAGAGTCTGGACAATCGACAAAAATCTCCAGGTCTTCCGACATCACTCTCCTTAAGTGATGAAGAATGGTGTTTAATATAGAATCGTGCCTCCACGTATATCGATGTTGTTGTAACGCTACGGGGCAATATGAAAGAACATGAAGCTGTGTTTGAATTTTGTTGCAAAGGTCACAATTTGGAGAATCTCGAATGTTCCACCGCTTGAGGTTAGAATTGTTGCTCAAGTTAAACACTAGAGCCCGTCTTCCAAAACAAGTTATATTACGGGGTAGTCTGCTAACCATTTCTTGCCAAAAGTGTAGTATTTTCTTGTTGCACGCTTCAGTTAGATAGTTGATAATAATACTTTGTTTCCAGCATTTACAGATAATTCTCCATAAATGCGTTCTTAAAATTGGACAACGTTGAAACGAAATAATGCTTATTTGGTCGAAAGGACACGCAGAGCCACGACTTTTCATTTTTCTGATTATTTTGGAGATCTCACGATACGTAGGACATTCTAAGTCGAAATCTTTACTTGCGGATGGAAATGAACTCAACCAGGACGGCCAATTAAACAAACGACTTTTACTTTTCTCCTTAAATAAGTTCTTAAAATAGTCGAAACACGACTGTTCGCTCAAGCTTGGTTCTAGCTCTTCGGTCTTTTCAAATTCATTTTTACAAAACTTCCAAAAGTTCTCATTTAATTCATTTTCATAATTCCGCTGGTCATTAACGCTTGACTGCATTCTTTTTCGCAATAACTTACTGACGAATTTTATTTCCACCAAGCTGCCTCCGTTCGATTTTAAATCTTTTAAGCATTTTTTTAACTTTGATTTTGACATACTTCTGTAGTGTTCAAATTTATTAGCCGACTTTACCAAACCACATGTATCTTTAAAGTAAGACCAGATAACGTTATTCATGAATACAATTTCCGAATCCAAGTCTCCCAGCTCTGGTCTGACACTGAATTGCGACTGAAAAAACTCGTTAGCTGCTTTCCAACAAAGATCCGATCGAGGAAGTTTTACTCCTGATAGCACTTTAAACTTATCGGTCGGAAACAGAACTTCGGTCATGCTTTCATTATTATTTGCAATAGTAATGCTATCATCTTGTTGAGCAAACAGTTCAGCAAAGCACGGGTTATTCTGTATAAAGCGCGATCGGCGATGTAAATTTAGTGAACGATAACTATTAAATGTACGCCCACAATAACACATAAAACTTTCTCCTGCGACATTAGTCGACCCTACCGTACATGTATTATTATCCGCAGATGTTGAAGAAGACGCTCTCTCCGTGTTAGGTGAGTTTCCGACACCAGTTCGTGATTTGCAACGCCATTGATGTCTGCCCAGCGATTTGAAATCCTTTCCACAATACTCACATATCGTTTAGCAAATTGATCGAATTGATATCAATGCTTTCGAACGACAATTTTTTATATTTTGGTGAAATCAACAAATCGTGACCGTCCGCCATTATTGATTTTGGTGAAGTGATCTTGGATCAAGGTGAAGTTCCAAAAGCTCAAAACTAATGTTAGTGCAGTTAAACTACATGAACTATTCAAAAAGTACGGGAGCGCCGTGAACGTGAACTGCCCACCTCGCTGGTCACTGTCTATGATAATAATAATGGAAACTTTATTAAATGTTTTTCTTTACATACATATACAATCGTAAATCTCTCTCATAAAGGTAACTTACGGTTGGCTATTTGAATCACAATTATACTAAACTAAAATAACAGAACAAAGTTCATGCAATATATATATACAAAGAGATAAGTCAAATTGTTAGTAAATCCGGATTTTCCCATTCCTTATTCGGCAGCAAAAAATGTAATATGTAGTTCTAATAGCAATAGTCATCATTTTCCTAACGCAGTACATTTGGTGGTTTTTGTCAAGACCAATGCTTTCTAACATGTCTAAAAATGTATAACATTCTTCTGCAAAAATACCTAAAGAGCTGATGGAGAGATTTATAAATTTAACTTGGTTAAAATTTTTACCTAGCTGTCTCAATAATAATAATAATAATAATAATAATAATAAATAATAATAATAATAATAATATTTTTCATGGCCAGGTGCTCGATTAAAATCAGAAAATCATAATTTCAAGACACACATGACTTCGCCGTTCGTCAAAAAGTAAATAATTGCATAATGCAGTGCTGGTCGGAAATAACATTTACCTAACACTGCGTTCGGCGCGTTTCATTTGCGCTCGGAACGCATTCCAGAGGAAACTTGAAAACGCGTTCCCCTCTTGGTTAAAAACCGCGTTCTCGCATCGGAAAATCTCGACACCGAATGAAACCAGACCTACATGCAGTAGGGTTTGACAGTTAACAACTGTGAACTGTTATTTTAAAATATTCTGGGCTGAAATTCCTGCCCGGCTTGACCCAGACTGAAACTTGACTCAGTCCGGGTAGTAAATAATTTTAAATGTCGTTTAAATGGCTTTGTATTGCATGTTTGTTTCAACTGTATATGTAACCACAATCTCACACAAGTATGTCAGCTGGAGGTTTGACTACACGGGTTGAAAATAGCTATGACTAACCTCCTTAGCCGGTTCAAACTGACCATGAATATTCCTGCCCACGGCAACATCTAAACAACGATCAACCGGATCAAAACGCATATCTTGTAGCGTACTTGCTAGTTGCTACAGTTTTATTTTAAGGTGGCTCTCTAGGGTTTTTGCATTATACTGCACTATAGTACCAGGAGACTCCTGTTTCTTCACTTTACATGACATGAAGACGAAATTT